CAGAACCACCAGCTTGGCCAGCCTCTCCCTAGGTCATCTTTATCAAAATCTGGTTTGTTCCAATGCCTCCCACAAGAGCATACAGAAGTGAAGAAACATTTCTTCAATTTAAAACAAGCTGCTGTTTAAATCACAGGTTCGATGTTTTTTGTGCCTACCCCCTCAGCACATTCCCTTGCACTTCTTTGCAGAACGATCATGAATCAAATGAAGCCTAATCAAAGCTTTCTTCATCTCACTACAGAAGAATTGTCAACAGATGAAATCCACCTTTTCCTGCTCCAGAGGACCACAGGATGTAGAGAGGCATTCTGTAATTGCTGAATTCCTGTTGAAATAACTGGAAGAACGATTATTTTTCCAAATAGTGCTACGTTTAAAAAAAAATAAAATAAAAATCAGACATCCTATGAAAACTCCCCATGCCAACCCAGGTATTTAAATTATGAAGTCTTCTGTAGAAGAAAAAAGCCCCACACGTTGGAAGCTGACTCCACTTGACTCCACTTAGCAAGTATTTGCAAAGAGCAGGAATGCCTAAATACACAGAGTTGCTCCAGAGGCATTGCCACTAGCATCTTCTTTTAAGTTCCTTCCACACACTGCGATACTGTGAGCATTTCAGTCTGAAACTAGGTCATAAACTTCTCTATTGGAAAGCATTTATAGCTGTTTGGACTGGATTATTGTGTTCAAGAGGTTATAATAATAAAGGAAGCCTGCAAGTATACTTTTTCCAAACTCCTAGTATGCCATTGCCGGTTTGAGAAACTGGTTCATTTCTTATCCTTGTTTGGCTCTCCTGTACTCAATTTGTTGCTTGCTTTGACCACTTTCTGGACAAATATAAAACTTACTCTTTCATCTAACTAACATGAAGGAAAATTTAGAAAAGTTTCTCATTTAGCCCTGTTCTAGAATCAATTTTAGAAGAACACTGACAGAGTTTCAAGAGCCATTCAGGTACTCAAGTCTTGCCAAAGTTTACAGTCAGTTATATCCTGTTACAAAAAGAAAAATAAAAAAACTCTGCTCTGTTTTTTCAATTTTGTACAAATTTCCATCAAGAAACAATCTAGCTCTGCATATTCACATGCATCCAGATGATCTGTGAATAAGCCTTATTCTCTTTAGTCTAATCAAATTGGCCAGCTCGCTTTCTCCTCTTCCAAACATTCTCAGCCACTCCTTCCTGCAAAGGCAAGCACACAGCATTTGCTATCTTTCTTACCAAGCCTTTTTGAATACTCAAAACAGCAAGCAATTGCTCCAGCCACAGTTCAGTCTTGCAAGGCCCATTATTTGAGGTTTCTTCTGTTTGCTCTCCATTAACCATCTGGTCTTGCTAAGGGCAAATTCAGCATCCAGCAGCTTCCCAGAAGGGACCCTGCCCATAGCAGGGGTTGAAACTAGATGATCACTGTGGTCCTTTTCAATCCAGGCCATTCTATGATTCTATGATTCAAAGGCAAATGCCTGCACATCTCTGGGGACTTGAGGAACAAGGTGTCCAGTTTGTTTTCTCTAAGTGAGAAAGATGTCTCAGCAGCCTTTTGTGCGCTTTCTCATGAGCCATCAGAACAAAGGCAGGGCAGTTGTCCTCAACTGAAAAAGCCATAAGTGGTAATGCTGCATCCAACTTGCTTTCTATCTTACAAGGATCCAGCTGAAGGCCCTGGGCAATAAGGTGGCCCTCTGCAAGAGCTGTCTTATGATTTTCTTTCCCAAATACAAGCACAGAAGGAAAAACGAGGGCAGACTGGATGAAAACTACATGTACAATATTAAGTTGGCTCTGTAATCAGGATCAAATAGCAAGTCCAAGACCTTCACTGCATTTGGAAGAAAACCAAAAAATTGAGAGCAAGAATAAACCCAACTTTTATCCAGCTGCAATAATTTTTTCTCCAGAATACTCTCTGCCAAGAAGGAGAATCAGTATAATTAAATTATTAGCCTTCAACTAGGTTTTAGCTAATCGTTGCTTTTGCTTTGGTCTGCTTTTCCATAATTTTAAAAGCCTTCACTCTTAAAACTATAGTAATCTGTATTCAGTACTTAATACACCTACAGGGTTTTTTTTCCCAAAGAGAATCCTCTTCAGCACAGAATCTGCCTTCTGTTTGACAATTCTACTGCAGTAGTTAATATTATATATGCTGCTCAATATATTTTTGCGACGCACCATCTAACCAAGTCAAGTGAATTTACACAATATTCATACTCCCTTTTATAGCCTTGATGTAGTAGTTGCTACACATGGAGTCAGGTCTTCAACACAGTGATTCTGCAGCAAAGACACTATTAAACAATTTTTTTTTTTTTCTTTTTAACCTGCCTAAATTTCTGTGAAGCTGACAGTAGCTTTTTAAAGGACATACATCCTTTTATTTTTATATATAATATAGAAATACATTCTGATTAATAGTCCTATGTTTTAATGCGTTGCTGGAAGGCTCAATTCAGAGTGCATGTTCCTATGATATTTCAACTTAGGTAGTTTCTTCCACTCCATCTTGAATTCTATCAGAAAAAACCTGCCAAGGTAACTGCCTCACAGCTTGGGAGACTGAGCATCTTCTTTTATTTCTGAAATTCAGAAGAGTGGAACAAAATGAACACACAAGTCCAAATTACTTGATCTCCTTGTAACATAATATATGTATTAATTAAAAGCAAGGAAAATGAGCTCAAAGACAAAAGCAAGGCAGATGTGAAAAGTTGCTTCAAATCTGTATGTCTTGAAGGTGACACTAATCAGAGTCACAGAAATCCTTCAGTTTCCTTTCACTTCATAACTTTTTAAAAAGATACTTTCATTAAAACTTAGCAGCCACCCTCTATTTCCACTACCCCACCAGAGCAGAAAGGGCACTGTGCACCTCCTGGTTCTCCAGGCACACTGTCTGAGTCCCCAGATTAAGTGACACCAGCAAGCAGGAGGTTTAAGACACAGACAGGGAGGGCTCCCCCCCTCACTGCATTGCATTCAGTTGGGGAATTCTGAATGGTGCAGAATCACAAGGCCCAGAAATCATCTGGGATGAGAACGTAGCCCAAAAAAAATTCATGGAAGGGCTGAACTATAACGCAAGGCTACTCACCACAGAGACCACCAATGACACAGATGTCCTTCATCTGTAGATAACAAGCAGTTGAGATGGAAAGCAAGCATGTTTTGCACCCTTCTCCTCCTCTGCCATCAGCTACCAGCCACTCTCTCTAGGACAGTAGCCTGCTATGCCTTACTAAAGGTTTAGATTTAAACTGGATTCTCAGTCTAACCAATAACGACACTTTGATGTGTTTGTTGTGTTTATGCTCTTACAACCCAGAGTAGTTGCAGAACAAAGTAACACCCCAAGGTCATCTATCTGTGTATTTTGTACCCTTATCTGAAGTCAAGATAGACATCTGGCTCCCACATGGACACAGTGCAGTCTTTGCCATGCTCATCTCCACAGTACTCTTGCAAAGGAAGAAAAAAAAAAAAAGGATAACTGGACATCAAAAATAAAGGTCATGTACTCAGACACCACTCTTTTGCTTCAGCTGAAATGTATCTTAGCAACTCTGCACAGCAACTTCCCAACAGTTCTACACTACCAGTATAACAAGGCCCATATGGAAAGAGTGCTCAATGCACCCCTGGGCCCAGGAGTTTTGCCCAGAATGCTTTTTTGTGCATCATCCTCCTAATTTTCTTTATTAGGAATACAAACACACAGGTACCCAGGCACTTCCCACTGATGTGGGGACTGAAGAATTCACCCCTGGCTTCCCAGGAAGACTGTGACAGTGCAAAAATCAAATCAAAACCAACATTACTTGCTTGCCTTTGGTTAGGCTTATGAGATCGGGTTAACTTCCAGGAGTATCAACAACTTGAACAGTATTCCCTGGATTGGCACAATGCTCAAAGCCACTCAAGACATTCAGAAATTGTCCTTATATTCCGGCCTATAGCTGTAACTGCTAACACAAAATTAAACTCAAAAGTAAATGAAGGAAATTACGTTATACAGCGGCAAGAATAAAGACTACAACAGCAGGCAGCTCGTTTGTACCCACAAGTCTAATCAATTGCCAGAGGATAACTACAAATTACTGATAATTTTATAGTTTATCAACATCAGATAGCTTTTGTACATGACAAGACTGAGAAAAAGGATTTTGCAGCTTTATGCTAAAAAACATCTTTCCACTCTATTTACACTGCATTGTTGGGGGGTTCAGTGGAAACATTTCTTTTATAGAAATGGATTTATTCAGAAAAAAAAAATAATAATTTTATGAAGTCTCAATTTTAAAATCTGGGATATGGGCAGAAAGGGTAGAAACCTTCATCAGGCAAGTCATGACCGCTACAGATCTTTGTGCAAAATCTGAGTGACCAAAACTGAATCATGTGGGGAAACAGAAAAGAATTTGCTGGATCCAGTATCTCCCTAGTGGGACAGATTGGAATTCACTACATATATACAAAAAATTTTTTACTTCCCTCTTTATGGTGATATTTTTAGACAACTATGAACAGACCAACTGGTAAAAAGTTTAGTAAGGGGTCAACCTCAGAATTTTATTCTTCGGCAGAGAAATTGTGGCTTAAGAGAAGCAAAGCCTTCTGGAATAGATGTTCCAATCTGGTATAAGTTAAAGTAGATGGAACTAATTCCTGAAGGAGCAGGTGGGTTGATGGAAGAATTAGTAGTGACAGACTGTATTTTACAATAATCTTTCGATCATTAAAACCCAATTTAACATGTAACGTCATCTGTTGTCAGAGTTACCAAACCTGGGAGGAAAACCAAAAATGTGTTCGTGATGATTTACAGAGAGACATATGCAAACATTCATGTGGACACGAGAATATTTATATTTTATACTCAGTGAATTTTGATGCCGTAATGTTGAAGACTGCTACTATTGAAACTTAACCAAAACAATGTGAGGAAAGTTAATGAACAACTGTACTGAATGGAATATATCTGGTTTCCTACCTGAAGAGTGTTCATCAATCATTACTGCTGTGCCAGGAAAATGCTTCAGCAATCACACAACAAAAAGGATCTGGAGAGTTCCTAAATGTTTAAAAAGAAACACAAGCAAGTTACATGATGCAAAGTCACCGATCCCACAGCAAACAGTAGAGTCATACTTCAGAATTCCTTACACTTGGAAGGATTTTGTTGTTTTTTCCAAACTAACTTTTCCTTTAATAACAAAATTGTGGTGCATTCATCTGAGCCAGAGCTAAAACAACACAAAATTCAATTACTAACAAGACTGGGGAAAAAAAAATAAAAATAAAAAAACAAAACAAAACAAACAAAACCAATGATTTGCAAAGATAGCTATACCAAAAGAAAAGCTGTTATCCCTACTCGGTTCCATGATTTGGCAACTATGCTGTGTCCACATATTCATGTGTAGATATTAATTCAGACTGTGTACAGAGAAGTTTTTCAGTTCTCACCAGAGAAGAAATAACGTTTCCAAATCATGGCTATATTTCACAGAAAGAATGATTTAAGCCAGATGTGAAACACATGGATTTTCTTAAAAGTTTCCCTTTTTTTTTTTTTTTTTTTAAATTTGAGTTGGAAAGCTCCATTTTTCTGAAGCATCTAGGTATAAAGAATACTTTAAAATTCCAGACAAAGCATTCTTCAGAGTTGTAGTGTGACTTTAGAACCACCAAACAAGTTTGATAAAACACAACATAACTAATCCAAGTTGCAGTATCCCCACAGTCTTCTCTTTGCAAATGAGATGCTAAATTGGAAAAAAATACCCAACACTAACGTTGCATACATCTGCCTGATTACAAGAGTAAATATGCAGTAGGCATATATAGCATTTCCAGGTTTGATAGCATATCACTGTAAACATCATTGGCAAAACACATTTTCTAGAAGAGAACAAAAATAATTTTTCATAAAAGCATGCCTACATGTGTAAATTGCATCTATATCACAGACACAAATTTTCCCTATACTCAGTTACCTTAATGAAGGTACGAGATGCAAACTCTCAATTGGTTCTACTCAAATCTTAGCCGCCTACAACACATGAAATGACATTCTGTGTTCTGATACTTCAATACAGTTATAGCCCATAGATACCCAAGCTTTCCGCTCCAGTAAATAAGTCCAGCAAATTATCACCTGAAGATGGCTACAATGTTGTTTTTTTTTTTGCTATATTTCACATATTACAAATCAATGTTCAGACAATCCACATGGAGATATCTATCCCATTTTCTATAGGATTTATGTCTAATCAGAATGTACATGCATGCTTGCATAAAAATTAGAAGTTCCTCTGACAAGGAAAAGTAGATTCGCAATCATTTTTCTAACTCACATCCCTTCACACCACTAACTCTACACAGCTGTTTTAGCAATCTACAGGACGTGGTCAGAAAAATGACAAGGTCAGGTGATGTTCTTATCTCGTTACTGACTCACTGACTCCTCATAGTTGCTCTGCTTAAATGAAAAGTCAAATCATTGCCTCTCAAATCAAACAGCCAAGTAAAATTTCCTCCAGTAAAACAGTAGCATCAAAAGCCCATCTTGGCTAATATGCATACCTTCTTTTACTTCTACACAACCTGCTCAGCCTCCAGTGAGAGTGCCCACACACGACAGAGCAAAGATGGGACAACGTGTGGTCATCCAGCTGTAGCTTACAGAGAACAAACATCTCTTCAGCCTCCATGACTGACGATATTGTGAAACAAAAGGACTTACATCACCTTTCCAAGTGGTGACTGATTGAAAACCTAACAGGTTTTAACTGCTAGTGTTAGTTTTAGAATACAACTTACAAGATTGATGCGCATTCATGCTATTAAGTGGCTTTGCCAAGAAAACTGCAATCCTCTGTCCACCTTTGTGTCCTGTTAGCACAAACTACTCAATGCAACTATAAAAGACTGTGAAGAACTGACAGTTTTACCTAGAAAGGTTTTGGTCTAAAATTTTCACCTTGGAGCATATGAAGTTTTTGGAAACCTAATCAGACTAAAGAGAAACCAACACACTCAGGAATACTGCAGATTGTTTCCACAAAATGTGAGTCTTTTCCAACACAGCCTCTGTTATTTCCATGAAGTGACCTTTTTCACTGAGGACACGAAGGGACATAGGAAAAACAGAAGACCATACAAAAGCAGAGACTGCCTTCCTGAATGGACAGACAGAAAAATCACAGCATCCAAGATTAAAATGAAGTTGAGAAGAAGGAATATGCCTATTTTATCTAAATACAAGTTGTATCTACCTTGAGAAGATCATAGCCACTTGTGACTAATTAAAGCCACATTGATTTTTTTTAAACAAAAGACCATCAGAAGCGTTTGATGCAGGATGCTGGAGAAAGGCTATAATAAAAACCAAAAGGTTATATGGATTCCTGTGCAGATTGTGGCTCCTTAGCCATTCTCTGCAGCCTGCTGGTGGTCCCCGCAGTTTCAGAAGGTGGTCCACAACATAATCATGAGGAGGACAAATTGAAGCCACATTTCTATTTGTGCAAGCAAGAAAACAACAGGAGAGGAATAAAAGGAGCAGATGAACATGCAAAGTCTAGCATGATTCTCATTTGGTCACAAATGAAAACCATTGTTGAAGCACAACACAGCATTGTCCCTATTCTCTAAGAAAAAGAATTAGGCGTTGACAAAACAAAGATAGAGGAATAATTTTGCAAGTTATCTCTTTGCAAAGACAGACACAAGCAAGTCTCAGAAGGGCAGGGTCTTTGAAGTAAAAGTAAGAAGCAAAAGCACAAAAAAAAAAATCCACAATGGTCTCTAGTTCTAAGTGTGCGCCCAAGCAGCACCTCCACTTCTTACTATGAGGGATACTGTTCACACACCTTCATTCAGCCTTCATTCCTTGGCTACAACACCAGGAGCTCCTGGCTGACAACCTGGACAGGCACTGTGGCATTTTCTAGCCAGGGCTCCAATGAAGTTAGCTGCCCACATACCAGAGCCACCTCTGCAGCCAGATGGAGTGAGTGACAAAGCTGAGATTTTGCTACTAGAATTAGAGGACTTCTGTCTCATTTCTTAAGCAATGCAGTCACATTTCAAGTGTAATTACTCATTTTCCTTCCCAAGGAATCAGATGCAAGTATTGCTTCGAATGCTTAGATAATAGGGCTGTTTGAAGCTGGGAAAGTCAAAAACACATTTGGCAGCCCTAAACAGCCAATAAGAAAAAACTATTTTGGAGGAAGAACTCCCATATACCCTCTTTGACCTCCAGCAGACCTGGAAAAAGGTACAATGGCCACTCTGTAAGTAATGCCTTCTATTTTATTATTTATGACTTTAGAGGTGGATGTTGGTGGTATGGATGTAGAGGTTGAACCTCTCCATCAATAACTTATTCCATTTAGTTGCCCTGCAACAAACTGCACCAGAGGGACAGCCTGACAAAATGGTGTCTGACACGGAAGTGCAGAAATGAATTCCTCCATGTGGAAAAAATTGCACCCACTGACATTCATTGGTGTTTTCTGAATGCTGATGGAGACCAAACAGTGGATGTGAGCACAGTGAGGCAGTGGGTCGTGGGTCTCAGCAGTGGCAAAGGCCACAGGAAGTCTCCCTTGCTGATGCAGATTTTCACAAGCACAGCATGCAGGCTACTGTTCCTCAATGGTGAAATACATAGTTAATGGTAACAGTGACTATGTTGGAAAAGAATGTTTTGTAGCTGAGAGTTTGCTACATCAAATAGGTTATTGAGCTCTTTTTATCTGATACAATTGCAGTGGAAATAAAAAGACATTTTCAGAGAAACCTGCTTACAACTTGGAGAAGTCGACATGAGGCCCATGAATGCAGCTGAAGAATCACCATCACCATTTTGTTCTTGCCAGGAATTTAAAACCAGATTATATTGGCTGCAGGAAATAACACACACTTCAGGAGCAAGGAGACACAAGCTCAACATTTACAGCTGTTAGGCTCAGTCCAGCCACAGCTATCTGCATAAAGGCTAAAGATTGTGTGAAGTGATGAAACATCAGGAAGTACTCATTTTTCCTAGGATTTAGCTAAATTCATTTAAAAAAAAAAAAAAAAAAAATTCATGGATTTAAGTGCTCCCATGAATTAGTTAAATCCTATCCTTCGTTACCATTTGAGAAGCACCACAGAAGCAGAAAGGCAGAGGCATGTAGGGCTGAATAACCATTTGTTAGCAATTTTAATAGCAAAGCTTTATTCTCCCCCACCTCCTTCATGGTCTCTTGTACTTATTATGGTGAAATTAGGAGTTTTTACTCCGAGTGAACTCCTGCTAATCCTTTTATTTTGGTTCAGTGCTACACTACTGACCCTGCAAGAACATTCATCTACATTCACAGCTGGAGCTGCAGACTCTGGCTTGAAGGAATAAATGACTTTGCAAGGCAAAAGCAAATGAAAGGCCAAAGGTTTATCTAAAAGAAAATCTGAATTTGACCATCTTAAAGAACGGGAGGAAAACAGGATGTATACTCCGACATCTCATCAAAAGCTGATATAAAAAATATCTGACATTAGAGAAATACAATGTACGAAAAAAAATCTGAAGTTCTATCATACCATAAAACATAAGTTCTTAAAAAAAAAGAAAAAGAAGAAACTTAATTTTAATCCTAGATTATATCCAACCCCAGTGATCTGCTACAAAGAGAGCAGCCAGACTTCAAAGTGCTCAGCTCCATCCATTCGCCCTGACCTTTTATTATCTCATACTTTCATCAGTTACTTGCTCATTTGCAACATTAATCTAAAGTTACAACATCACCAAATGAAGTACTGGATCTTGCTTCAATTTCCTTGTCAACTTCTCAGCCCATTTTCTTCATTGCAAGAAAATAACAAAAGGAATGCAAAGGACAGTGGAAAGTCAGGTTGCATGCACATAATTCACCCATTTGTGGCCACCAGGACAGGGAGTGAAGAAGGGCATTAAAACAACTTGTGAGAGGACAGAACTTAAAGCATGAATGGCAACACGCACACGAAAGCTAAAAATCAGGATCTTTCACTTTGGATGGACTTCAGGAATATTCT